GAATATGAATACTTAGACACTCAACTCCACTCAACTCGTTTATAGCCTTAGTTGCATAGTTCAAACTCTAAAGATTGCACAACATTAACCAAAAGATGCTATCGGATGGGGATTGGACCCCTTGATATTATAGACCTTCCTCATTTAACGTTTCCTATTTTACAATCTAATATGATTTAAACTATAAAACAAGTTTAATAAAGAAAAAGTGTAGAATTTTGGATTCTTTGCCTTCGCTGTCATTTTTTTCTTATAAATAAATTAATTATGAATTAGATTCTTCGTTGCAAAGAATCTTAGGAGTGCAACCCCATATTTGTATGATAATTTTAAGGAAATTAATTATGCATAGACATTCTCAAACTTCCTTTTTCTTGGTATAAATAAAATGGAGTGAAATTACCTAGTTGAAACTGACATCTAATCTTTTAAGTACGCTAGCTGAGAAAGTAGTGATAAACAATAGTGCAACATGTAGAACCTTCCTTGGAAGATAGGTTCTTGATTACTCTAAACCCAAGTTGTTTATCAAAAGTTAACCATGATTAAGATTTCAAACTCAATGAAGAAAGAAACAGAAAGCGGTAGGGATGAAGGGATCCATAAACTACCAAGCGATTGACAACCAGCAAGGTTGACACTTGACAAATGGATGGGGAGGGAAAAGAAAAAAAAAAAAAAAAAAAAAGGAGGAGAAACTTTGACCTGTTTAATCAGAAATAAACGGTTTGAGAGGAATGTATGGGAGTATAGGAACTTCTTTTTAATTTCCATTTTCTTTACTTTTCTCAAATTGTTGTTATTCAAATAGGAAAATTTATCTCTCTCCCTTCACTTCCCTTCAAACCAAACAAGCTGGGAAAAAGATTTAAGGCAAGATTCTGAAATGGATTTCAGAGAGCATTTCACCTTCATTCCTCAGAATGGATAATCAATTTCTTAGCCACCAAGCGGATGCCTGCACTCCCCTGATAGTCATATGAACCAAAGGAGAAGAATGCATCCACCAATGTCCCTGGCCTGATCAAGTTAATCAGCTCTGCCGTTTCAAGTCCAATGAAGACAACCTTTTGAGTCGACCCAGAACAATCTCTCTGACATAGCTCTGTCATGATTTGCTCAATACCCCCATTGAACATTATGGGCATGCTGGGAAAGGGCCAAAAAATTTCAAGGAATCAGGTGGTGAATTTCTTATATGTGAAAATTTAATACACCATATTGGTAAATAGATGCAAACTATAACATTTCAAACTTAATACTTCCTTTCCACAAACCAAACCCTTTGACATGACTTGAAGTTACTATTAGTCCTAACAAACAAAATACAACAAAAAAAAGAAAAAAAACCATGAAATATTGTTGTAAAACGAGAACTTCAGTGAAATGATTTTTGTTTCCCTTCCCATTTATTAAGACTTGCATTTATCCAGGGTCTCCTGAGCTCCTAAAGAATTTAGTTTAATGAGGAAAACAAACTCCACTCCCTTGCACTGAAATTCAGTAATTTCATTGCATTTCCAAAGCTTAAAAAATCATTCATTATCTTGCATAAGGAATCAAAATAAGAAAAACAAAGGATTTAAACTTACTGTACTCTTATGGTAGGGTAGTTGTACTTTCCGAACTTGATCACAACATGCCTCCACTCAGATTTGCTTCCAGATTCCACTGAAAATTTTTGTGCAATTTTGTCACATTCATCCAGAACTCTACACAAACTTGGAGATGCATCAACCACAAAGTTCAACCGTGGCCGGCCAAAGTTATCAACAAACTTTGTACTTACTCCAAACCTGACCCTCAAACGGGAACAAAAAAGCTGCAAAGCAACATCTTTGTGCATTAATTCTATTTTTTGGCTACCATGAAACCATGGGACAAGACATGCACTAAGAGAAGTCAGAGAAACTTCATCGGGCTCCAGAAAGCCTGCAAAGCCACTGCAACCCTCAGGGCTTGCTGCTGTGGAAGACATATTAGGAGAGTCTGGCCCATGTTGCTCTCCAATGTTGGCATTAGACTGAAGGACCTCAGTTGCTATTTCGTCAGAAAGTGTGCGCATGTCAAAAGGATCTTGATGAGTTGTATCAGTTGCAACCAAATTTGAAACTTCTGCAGCGCTGTGAGTCACAAGAGATAATATAGGATTCTGCTCCCCAGCCTCTTGACTAGTGGGAGATGAACTCAGAAGATTCTCACCAACCCCCTCAGAAGATGACTTGCTTTTAGAACAACTTCTTGTGACACGAATTGGGGAGATTGAATTGTTTGCCTTGAGCACATCAGGAAGGCTTGACTCCTGACAAAATAACAGATTTAAGTAGAAAATTAGACAAATCATCTTATAAAACATCCAAGATTGTCACCACCTTAAGCATCACTAGATCGATTTATCTGTTTGGGTTACCAAACAATAGCAGATTCCCTGTCCAATTTACAATAGCAAATCCATCAAAGAAATGAAAGCACAGTACAATATCCATAGAGCCATAATCATGGAGAAATTGAGGAAATGAAAAGGTTTTAAGGAAAACTAGAAAAATAAAAGTAATAACCACTTTAAAATATTTATCTGCTTTTTCATTTGGAAATGTAAAGAATATAATTTATCAAGATTTTTTTGAAAGGATTAACTCTCTCTTTTTAATTTTTCTACTTTGGAATTTTTTCCTCATATACTTTCCTTCAAAATTTCCATGAACCAAACATAGCATAATAGTATATATAGAAACAAAAGGACATGCCAGTGACAAGAAAAAGCAGAAAACAAGTTTTAAAACTTACACAATAAGTGAGCTTCATTATTGAAAAAAGTCTTATAATATGATATAGCATAACGGAAATTAACTACTGTCTACAGTGGGTCACTAATACCATGGTTGTACAAGCAGATCTGATAAATGAGTTAAATATAGGAAGGAAAGAGATATGCTGATGTCATAAAGCTTGTCTACGTAGCCCCAAAAGAATGTATGGTTTGGTCAACATCTAACATTGTGCAAGAAGGATAAACTTTGTGATTATACTGGGCACATCAATTGCATTCTAAAATTTAGGAGCAGCATTGACTCATCAATCAAAACAACATAAATGGGATTGCTTCTACAACTGTATGATTGGCATACCAATAACAAAATGGTTGCACAATATTTGAGAACTTCAAGATTCATGTGAACATCATCCAAGCTCCTGAGAAATCATAGCAAAAATATTATTCGAAGACCATGAAATGAAATAGAAAATAAACTAACTCTTTCGATACTCAAAGAGTTGAAGTATTACCTATGACTCTGCTTTCCAATACCAAAGTAGTTCACCAGAGTGGCCATCTGCACAAAAGTATAAAAACATAAGTAGGCAGCAATTGATGTCTTTAACCTACAATAACACTAAAATACAAGTACTGAACTGAGAGAACAGCCCCCAAAAAATTCATGACTGGGAGGGGTTTGAAAAATAAAATCACAGGTTACTAAAGTTTTTCTGTGGCCTTACTGATCTTTTGTATGCCACTTACATATATTGAAAGTAAAACATTAACATATATACTTAGGTCCAACTCCTATCAATTACCAACAATTCCAACTGATTCATATACTTGTGTGAAGAGGAAACATGACAATGAAATTCCCATTTCCTGCTAAGATCTTTCCTTTAATGCATTTAATCCATATTCCAAGAAATGATCCAAAACAAAAGGCAAATTACTTTGTGTAAAATAAAATCTAAATTCATCTGATCTTTTGAATTTATCACCTTATTTCAAAATGAGATTGAGTATAGTGCCGAGGTTTCTAATGAAAAACATGTAATATTGGCAAGTATAGGTGTAGTAACACAGATACCTTCATGTCACCTGCTCTCCTTCCAAATCTTTGAGTCAATAATGTCAATGAGTCAATAATCCCCTTGGGCACTGGCGCTGGTCGACCAATCTTATCAAATGCTTCCCTTATTCTTGCACAATCAAACTTAATTATATTATGCCCTGCCCATATACGTCCTGTAAAAAGCCCAAAAGCAATTCCCACATTAAATAATTTTATTTTGACGAACATAAAGAACCAATATAACCAGTTAACCACAACCATGTTCAAATGTCAATTGCATCTCATCCAAATGCTGTACTGCTAACTGGTAGCTAAGATGATGTTTCGACTATGATTCCTATCGTCTAAACTCCAAAAAAACCTTTAACTACAAAATGCTAAACCAGAGAATTCTTCATTTTCTTAGCAACCAAACAGAAAAACTTTGACTATAAAACGAACAGAAACGCTAAACCAACGAATTCTTCATTTTCTTAGCAACTAAACAGAAAACCCTTGACTACAAAATGAACAGAAATGCTAAACCAGAGAATTCTTCAGGAAAACACTTTCTTTTGAAACAAATTCAAAACCGTTCCATTCTTTTCTCCAGCTTTCCTTAATTCTCTAAGCAACCAAACGCACACCCATTTCTCTCGAGAACAAAAAAAAAAAAAACTCATTTAATAAACAGAAAGCAAGGTGAGAGTTTTTGTACAGACCGTGGAGGATGTCATAGACTTGGTCGGCAATGTCGACAAAGAAGGGAGCGCACTCAACTTTATCTCGAGTGATGCCGTTACAACGGTCCGAGAAGGAGGTCATCCGTGAGGGGTCGGCGGGGCGGACGAAGGTGGAATAGCTTTTGAGCTCCCGAAGCGTCCTCGGGCACACTAGGATGGCTCCAAATTCGAGAATAGAAAAGCCCTGTCCGGATCGGGGACCGGTGATCTCGACGTCGAAGAAGGCAATTTCCGATCTGTCCTCGGTCGTTGATGGACCCATCGGGAGGGTTTTGGGAAAATATCCTGTCCAACGGTAACAATTTAT